AGCAGAGTGCGGTTAAGTGAACTTGAATATGCAACCTATATGTTACATACGATAGCCCGGTTTCTGAGAGAAATGAAACCCCTTACTATTATTGCAAAAGCCGTTATAGCTATAGAAATAACAATGATTAAAATGTTCTTAATGCTTTGTAATTTTGCCTTCAAATTTCACGGCTAAAGGAAGCTTCTTGCCATTTTCTTTACTTTGAAACACGAACAGGAGCGAAATTGGTAGGAATTAAGAACGTGGAGCTCCCGAAAGCGGCAGCCGGCGTTTCACCAAGAGAGTTGGACATCTGGTTGTAATTTGTTTACGTAGTTTAACAAATCACGAACAAAATATTTCTGACAGCCACGTAGAACTTGAAGACGACTCCTCTTCAAAATAAAAATAATAAAACAAACTGTTTTTTTTTTCTTGCATCAAACGGGGTGCTAACGTAAGTAGCACTCTGTTCTTCATCGAACTGACTCAAACGCGGGTCCCTTTTGATCAGCGCGAGGGAGAGCAATGATTGTCTCAGACGATACATCTGAGGCAATCATTGATAAGCTTTGTTGACCTCGTTGACCTACGATAAGCTTTGCTGACCTCGTGCTCCCGACCGAGGCTGTTTATCGGATCGGTTCGCTGTCCCCAACTATCCTTCTCTGACCAAAGGACCTCACTGCGCAAACTTGTCTGTGTCCGTCTAGTCAAGGTTATCTAGAGGAGGAAACGAACAGAGTAGAGTTTTGACTTTATCATGCCGATCTCCTGAACGCGCGGAACTTTGTTTACGCAGGAGTGGCAACTCATCTTAGTTATGATCACTGTGATTTTTGGCAGTTGCCGGCAAGACCAGTCTCGGGCACGCAAGCACCACACCAAAGAGGAACTCTCTGTCGGCGTCTATCTCTTTTAAGTTCGTCAATTTGATTTTGTACGTGTTTCCTAAAGTTTGCAGTCCTCATTTTTCCCGCGATTTTATTATCGTCGTTTTTCGCTATTTATTACTTCCCTCCCCTTTAAATGAAAAGACATACAGCGCGCTCTTTCTCGGTGACGGTTTTCAGCGATTATATTCACACAGTCGTCGATACTAAAACAACAAGAAGATCTGAGGCAAACACAAAGAGAGAAATAATAAACAAGCAAAAGATCGCGGCAAGGAATAACACACGGGTTTGAACTTAGAATTAGATGGCCACTCGTATTTCTCACATCCACGTTTCAGTCATGGCTGCAGTTTTCAGCCTCAAAAGGAAGTCCTGTGCCGACTACTTTGAGAGACATAAGCGAGTGATATACCGCAACCGACATTTTCGACCCGTAACCGACCTCAACGTAGAAGCATTGAAAAGAATTTTGTCTCCAGCCAAAGCTGCTACTGTTCTGTCGACGGATATGCTCTGCCAGAACTGTTTTCGACGCACCGGTGAGCAACTTTCAGCCTGTGCGGTGAGTGACCCATCTTCAAGCTCTCCGGCAAGCTTCATTGAAGAACATGAAGTAGTAGATGACATTAACGAAGAAATATCTGCTAAAGGGCTTGAGACAACTCCCTTGCGGATGCCGTCTGTCGTAAACCCGAAGAGCCGTCACTCCTATGCGGCAAGAAAACAGCGGGAAATGGAAGTGTCATACAGCAGACAAGTACGTAAAAAGTTGGCTACAGCATATAGCCTGGAAACGAGTGAGTCAAACTCTGGGACTGAATCCTCCTGCCTTAACTGTGACGAGTGGTGGGCAAACCTCAGAGAAGCCTTTGTCAAGACACAGTCTTACCAGGAGAGATGCCAGCTGCTCACGCTTGTGCCTGCAAGTGTAACTGTTAACGAGGTCGCAGGTTTAATCCCGGAGGCATCGAGCTACATACTAAAAAAGGCCAAGCGACTTCGTGAACGTTTTGGCGTATGGGATCGTCTCGAGCCATACCAAGGCGCTAAGATAGGCGAGGACATCGTGCAGTCAGCCACGCGGTTTTACACCGACGATGATTTCGACTGTTCCCGGCAGAGCCCCAACAAAAAGGACGTTGTAAACATTATGAAGGATGGGGAACAACAAGCCGTTGTCAAGCGCTACATGACCAGGTCCATAAGAGAAGCCTACAAGCTGTTTAAGAAAGCTAACCCGGACTCCAAATTAGGATTGACCAAATTTTATTCGCTGCGACCAAAATGGGTTAAGCTGAACCCTGACCAAACCATGTGTGCATGCGTGTGCTGCACAAATTTTGATTTGTGCTTATCTGCCCTCAACAGCGTACGGGAAGAAAAAATAACGGCTGAGGATATTGTCGCTCTGTGCCTTTGCCTAGACTCAACGCCCAATTGTTTACGGGGCGAATGCAAGAAATGCCCTAGCATTGATCGACTCTCCTTACAAGAATTACAATTGGTTCCTGATGAGGAGATTAGATTTTGCACGTGGGAAAACGGCAAAATGGTGAATAAGACTGCGGACTCGAACGCCTTTTTGAAAGAGATGCAAAAATGGGCCACAAGGTTTTCTACTCACGACTTCATCCGTAGAAGTCAACGGGAACCTGCTCGGATTGAGAAGAGCAAGGTGACAACAAGACATATTGTCATGAACTTTGATTTTGCGGAAAACTGGACGGTGACCCTGCCACACGAAATACAAGAGCATCACTGGCACAAGCGTCAAATCTCCGTGTTCACGTGTGTTGCGTCGACATCGCAAGGTCCCAAATGTTTCGGTGTCGTGTGTGAAGACCTGTGCCATGACACTGCCCACGCAGTACTCGCTCTAAGGTGCATTGAGGACTGGCTGGAGAACAACATTCCAGTTTATACGTCATTAACGTATATATCTGACGGTGCACCAGCTCCCTTTAAGAATAGATTTCAGCTCTACGAGTTCCAACGAGCCGGTCTTCCGAAGATAAAGTGGGTTTTTTCTGCCTCAGGACACGGCAAGAGCGCCTGTGATGGAGTAGGGGGGCTACTGAAGCATCAGGCGACGGTGCACAACCTCCGTTCGCCTGTGGATGAGGCCATACAGAAATCAACGGACTTTGTGCACAAGGTGGGAAAGTTTGTAAAAAATGTGACTCTCCTAAATTTAAAGAAAGACGACGTGAGTGATTTCCGCAAAACCAAGAGAGCCGAATGGGGATCCATACCGGTTCAAAAAGGCATCCGCCTCTCACACGTGTGGCGACTTGAAAAAGGTCAAGTCCCTCTTCAGCGAACTGCATAATCGGTATTTTAGTGCCTACATGTTGTTTCAAAATGTGCGACTTTGTTAACTGTGTAGGCAAATTCCAGACGTTTCGCAAAAGCCTCTGCATGTATAGACGGGGGAGTGTTGTGCACCATGTATTTTATTAACGTGAATACATTAGTAGTTAAATCGAGTGTCTTTTTGTGTCGTGATACAAGCGTTTTTGTTTTTCATTTTGTCAGCTGTACTTTGTATTACGTGTGTAAGCTTATAAGCAAAACTATCTACACAGCTCAAACAGTTCAAGTTTGTGCAAAAAAAAAATGTCCATGCGTTCATCAGTGGAAAACAATTTCCATGATCACAGAAGATAGGTACTGAGCTGCTTCATGAGTGATTGTTTGGTCTTTATATTTAAATTACACTTATTTATGTCACACTGTGCGTGAGCAATTTTTAAGATGAGAACGTTCACCTGCCAGAGCTTTGGACATGTCGGCTCGTCTCACAAATAGACTGAAGGTGGCATTTCCGTTAACGTGAATGGTTAGTTTTGCCCTCCGTAACGTATGTCAGATGTTCCAGGAGTCGTCATGAGCATATATAATGGCAAACTGATCATGATGAACTGGCTTCTAAAACCGATTGTTATTATTGAGGCCGCCAGTACCATTGCGGTGAAGCCAGAATAGATGAACCAAGGATTGAGTGACAGGCTTAAAATTGGCTTATTTAACTGGTTGTCACCCAAATACAACAAAAATATTACACCCAAGACTTATATACACTATTTCTACACCTTATGGGCTATGAAGTAGAGAAGTTAGAAGAAAATAAAAAATGGCCTTTTTGAAAAAATTTATTTCGAAAATTGTATATTTTCAATTTTTGTACACATTTGGGGTGAAATCAATAGTGTTCAATAAAATCGATAAACAAGAAACACATACCAATCGATAGGTTATTTAAATAGCTACGTATTGATATATGTCTCATGACATAGCTCCATACCGTTCGTTTTATATAGCTATCCCAATGCTAGTCGAAATTGCTCTGGGTGGCATGTTTGCGATTTTATGTAAAAATAACTAAAAATGGTAAAAAACTATATTTTCCTCTAAAAATAGAACACATCGCATACTTATAGTATAAAAAGTATTAGGCGTAAGTGATGACTCAATATTTTGTAAAGACCGCCTAAACTTGAGCAGAAATGGAATCGCGATTTCCACGCATTTCACCCGGCAGCGTTCCATATTTTTTTCTCTCGAACTACATATTTCTAATTTTTTTGAAAGGCAGTTTTGTTGATCACAAGGATTGGGATTTCACATATATTTTTGACATATATATATATATATATATATATATATATATATATATATATATATATATATGAAAATATCAATGTCTTTCTTATCTTATTCCTACCGGCCATCGGTGTTGAGTCCGTTTTCTCTGATCATGTGCAAGTTGCGAGCGTCAACATTAATATTAATAAGATTTATTTTTAAAGACTGGCAGCTTGCCCTTTACGGGAGATGAAAATGCAAACACAAATGTGACACCCCGGTGGATATGACATCATAGCTCAACTCGTGTAACACTAACAACAATGTAACATAAAAAAGTAACATAAACAATTACTTGCCAGACGATAATGCAACTTTTGATTTTCACTAGTGAACACGTAATTATCGCTCATTAGTCTTGGATGATGGAATGAACAAAAATATGGGTTGACGCACACCAGGAGGCCAACGGTTCTAAACCGCGTCTTGTCCCGGTGTTTCAAAACCACCGTTCACCGTTTTTATGCGTTCTTGCAGGAGACTTCTGCTATCCCCGGTTCGAGAGTACAAAGCGCCATAACAAATTCGCGACTTGAGATAAAGCGCAAGCGTAGTGCCAAAGAAGAGAAGCCCGAAGCCTCCGTCATGACAGCTGCACCAGTGAGGAGGAGGAGCGGGGGAACCTTAAATACTTTCTCTTCTCAAAGCAGTGGATACAAGAGGAAGAAGGCTGCGGTCTTCAGAGGCAGTTCCTGGTCATCATCCGTTTCCTCCGCAAAGCCAAGAAAGAAAAGACGCTGTGGCACTTGTCGCGCTTCAACGACCGGAAGTGCCACAGGGACAACTAGAAGGTCCAGGACGAAAAGGGCAACGGTTGCGAAGACCCGAAAAAAGAAAGCCTAGACACAAAAGCTTCAGGACTAGCGGGACATCGCCAAAAATGCCCAAGAAGACGAGAGGAAGCTGAGCCATTCAGAACTAAAAAAAAATTGAAAGCGGCTGATGAGTATGGTTTGAAGATTTCTGCAACAAAAAGGGACCTTCGCCAGGGGCAATAACACTTGTGCAAGGCCCTCAGGATGGGGAAAAAGACAAAACCTAAACTTCCTATCTCCGACGTAATAAAAAAAAAAAAAAAAAGAGAAGTGCGTTTGTCTTGGAGGACGTTTTTCTAGTCGGTCTTATCTGTCAATGAAGTTAAAATATCTTCGGATGTGCGTCCAGCCACGTCGTAAAGGTAACTGAACATATGTGAGAGTCATGTAATACAAAAAGTGCTTTTGATTTTGTGTTGGAAGGAATGGTTTTGCCAAGCCCAGCTCGTGGGAGTTCTTCGCTTCGCCATACGAGAAATACACGCCATACGCACGTACTCTGAAGATGGCTCCCGCCCGAAGGTGTCAGCTAGAGCTACAACCGTAAGTACTGAGACAGATCTGAGAAAAACCATCCGAAAATAGGATAAAAATCTGAACTTTTAATTTTTTTTAGAGTATTCTTGAAACAAGAGGGGTGTTTATTGTTTGCGAAGACGAAAATGTGGTATCGTTACTAAAATGTTTGCAATCTCTATGTCGTAAACATCCCTGTGTAATATAAAAAAAAGGTCCTTAAAAAACACTTTTTTCTTTGATTTTTTTTCTAGTTCTTTGGCTTATATTTTTCGCATATATTTCCGACTCAAAGACGGGAACATATGTGCAATAAATGAATAAAACAATCACACGGAATTAATGACAAAAATTTATTTCCACGTCATTAAAAGGAATTGGCTATTTACTTGACGGATATAAAATATATGGCTTAGTTTAAAGCAGATTTACAATTTCTGCACGATAAATATTCTACGTAGTTCGTAAAACAACAAAAACAAATATTGCCTGAAATTAGATGTGACAGGGAAATTACAGTAATGTAATTACACTCATTTATTTACTTTTGGCAGTGATGAATAATTTAAAGAATTGCGTTCTCGTGTAGAAAATTTGGTATTGTAATCAAGTCGCGGTAATTTTAATTAGGTTCCTTTAATAATGTTTATCTTTAGGCATATGTTGTGCATCAAAAAAAAAACAACTTAAAGGTTCACTGAAGTGGTTTCTTAGATCGTTATTTTGTTGTGTTAACGAGATCTACGCGCTGAAAGCTTCCCAGCAATCTAAAATTACGGTATTGCGCGGCCTATTTCCCTGTTAGAAAATTGTTCAAAGGTCGTGGACACAGCCTTTCTCAGGCCAAATTCCCCGAGTGAAGCGGTCGAAGGCGTTCGCGCGCGGACGGATCAGCGGAGTGGTTGAGGATCCCAACCAGCCCCAAGCTGCCTCTGCCTCGGACGAACTACATTTCAGCAGCTGTTTGCGCATGCAGGTGATGGACATTCGCAATGTGACGGCGTTAAAATTTTAAATCCATCGGCGGACGAGTCTGTTTACGCTCCAGCGCCGACGAGCGCAACGCGAGCCAGCGCAAAAACAACGTGGCTACGGCGTCGTCTCGCACAGCCGTATATCCATTTCCTGGTCAGTACAATTCATGCTATCTTGTGCCTATCTCAAATACTCTACTCAAGAAACTGTATTTCATGTACTTTTTGAATTATCTTGGTATCTTGCAAATACTTTCGATCGAGAGTATTTGATACTTTATTTTAATTACATTTCTGAGCCTCTTGTACTCATTATTTTAAATACATTTTTTTGCATTCCGCCATTTTCCTACTTTTTCGGTGTGAAGTGGCGTAGGCGTGGTACGAGAAAACGTGAACATTCTTTTGAGCAACTAAATCCTGCTGCTAGCTCCAATTAGCTACGGTGACTTTGGCTCGTGAAAACATCGCTTTTTTGCCGATTGTGACTCATATTTCAGCCCAAAGTTCGTGCCAGTGAAGGTTTTCCCCTCGCCTTCCCAAAGGCACCTTTTGTTTCTTTGAGTTTCCCCCAAGGTTGGGTTTACGGCAGTAAAGATTGCCACACTGAGGCGCAACGCAGACCGGGTAACGACCTACGACAACAATGCAGACTTGAGTATCCAGATAATAATAAATCAATAAATGATAAATGGACAAAAAAATGTTTTGTTTTTTGTATATTTGACCCCGCTATGGCAAAACATCGCGGTTTTCTGTTGTTTATTTTCTTTTTGTGGTCAGTCCGTCACTTATTGCTTATTGCTCTCGCGAACACTGTCTGTAAGCAGGACAGGAAACGAACTACGCGTTGTATGACCTCTCGAAATGCCAACAAAGCGTCCCAAACGTTGAGGGCCTTTCTGAATGCAAACTAGTTGAAGAAGGTGCGACCACTGCCGTGGCTATTAGGTGGGTTCTCTTTGTTGTCCATTCACTCATATCCGTATCCCAAGTTCGTTTATAGTGAACTCCCTATATAGGGAATAAGGATTGTAGTTGAACGATAAATCTAAGGTGCGCCGCAGGACGTGATATTCAGGGGTGTCACTATTGGCGAGGCGCCCTGACCCGTTTGTTGCCCCCAAACCTTGGTGTATACCTAACACAAGGCCTGTGCACATGCCCACAGGCCTTGTGGGAATGTTCATGTCATTGTCTTTAATAGAGCGCGGGGTACAGTGTAATGTAAAAATACTAACAATAAACGAAGTGACGTTAAGTGCCGGATCTCTCCCGAAAACAGTCGTCAGAGGATGCGAGCTTGACCCTCTTGGGCTTTGGTGTTGAGCTGGGCACCTTGCATGCGACATTGTTCATGCAGGCCGGAGTGGTCACAAAAGAGAGCCTCCTCCCACTCACCGAAGAACACGATCTCCGGATCCAGCCCAACGCTGACGCCGTGTTCCGTTATGTCAGCCGAGCGCTGAGTCATTGTATTCGTTGTCCCCATCTGTGTAATTCTAAAGTTAACCAATTGGTGCGCTACGGTCTGATCTCGTCCCCAATAGCTAAGCGACCTCTTTCTTGTTGTCCCAGAAATGTTTTGTAACATATATCAGTGATATTGCCACGCGCGTTGCCAAGCTTGCGCGTGGCCGAATGGTTGGCTCTCACGCGGAGGCTCCGGGTTCGATTCCCCAGGGAGCGCACCGCTGACCTCTATTGCAGTAGGCTGGATCGGGGACCGTGGCCTCGGCAGCTGGGGCCGAGTGTCACCACCGGCAGCTATTGATTGACACCACCAAATGCATGGGACTCTATGGTGAAAAACAAGAAAAAGTGACGTTTCCCCCGCTTTTTGGCTGCTTTTCGATTAGCCCGTCAAATAGCTTGCGTACAAACATTAAAACTGACAGCCCTCGCAGTTCTTATAAATAAATATTTTGTGGTTGACTTCGCTGGGCGAAAAATGTAGTGCAGCTCAATGAGGCGAGAGTTACTTAGAGTTACCGCGGAGTCGGTGGCGGTTTTGTTGAGTTGGGTTTAGCAGACAACATGCTCGAAGATTTTGCTACGCGAAATTCACTCACTCCCGGAAAGCCGCTGTCGAGATGGGACTTCTTTGTCATTCATCAACTTCTGGGCTTCCCCAAGAACGGTCTCATTGTCGGCAACTTCCTTTGTTTACTCCACTACGATAGTAAGCTTGACAGCTTAACCCATATGTTGCTCCGGTACGTTTGATTTTTTTAATCGGCGTCCGAACGCTTGACAAATACCGGTTCGTTCTCCAAACACCTGACATAAGGATCGCAGCACACCATATAATATTCGCCTTCGAGCACAGCGTACATGCTTTAATATTCTTACTTTAGCGCGCGCGCTAAAGTTCTCGTTTTCGCGTTTCTCCCAAAGACTTGCGTGTATTGCCTGGTGTCAAGCAATGGCCGCCGGTGGCGACACCGACGGGCTCCCGATCCGCGATCCAGCCTACTACAATAGAGATCAGTGGGGCGGACTCCTCTTTTATTTATTTTTTCAACTTCACATTCTCCTCAAGTTCGACAACCTTGTCGTCTGATCGAGTGACGAATGTTCTAGGCGCCGAACGTTCTACGCCGAATGTTCCAGAAACCCACGCAGGCGTCGATGTTTCTCCAACATCGACGCCTGCGACGCTAGCCTTTCCCTATTTTTTTTGTGCAGAAGTTCGCCCCAGTGAGCGTTAAGCTCCTTCAAGTATTCGCCGCCTCGTTATTTGTCATTCGTGACAATATCCTGCTCCTTATAGTTGGACTGCATAAAATAGCCCTGCAATACTTCGCCCCTCCCCCCCCCCCCCTCCCTCCCCCCTCCCCCCCCCGCCCATCCCGTTTTGTGTTGTTGCGTAATAATAAACCATTCGGATAAACCTGATTTGCGCAACCGTGTAATCGTTGTGTCTGATGACGATAAAAATTACGCAATGCAGAAGTATCTTCAAAAGTAATTGAAATACATTTTTAAGTATTTGTACTCCACCCAAGATACTTTACAGTGAAGCTAACTTGAGTAGTATTTTAAATACTTTACAAAGCAGGTGCTTAGTAAAGTAACTTAAATACATGTATCGAGTATTTTTTCCAACACTGGTGTGTGGTTTGTACACGTCATGTGGTCATTCTTCGAACCAGCAATTTATTTATTTATTTATTTAAGTACCCTCATGGCCCTGGGGCATTACAGAGGGGAGTGGTACAAGACAAATTTGGAACACAAACAATATACAAACACTAAAAGCCAAGCACGAAAAATGTAAAAAAAAATAAATATGTAAACAAATTAAGAAATGTATAAAACAAGGCAAACAAACAAAGAGAGATATTAACATAGGTAAGTAGTCAACGCACTTTTAAACAAGTCAAAGGATGGTATGTTTACTAATTGCGCGGGAAGGCGATTCCACTCTGAAGATGTCCTTGGAATAAAAGAGTTATAATAGGCTGAGGTAATGCAATGAGGAATTCCGACTTTAAATTGATGATCTACGCGCGGCGAGATGAAAACAGGATTTAACATTAGTTTGTTTTTTAGCGGAGTATTGGAATGATAAATTTTATAAAAAAGACACAAACGAGATATTTTTCGGCGTAATGAAAGAGCAGGAAGTGATAAATTAGTTTTCATAGTTGAGACACTAGATGTGCGATGATAGTTAGTAAATATAAAACGGGCACCGCGATTCTGTAGGG